AAAAAAAAAACTTTTTTTTCTTTTTTTTTTTGTTAAGCCCGACTCCCACGGCCACCCGACACCCAACCACCCGAAAATCACGCCCGACCCCCCCTCGAAGACCCCGTACGGACGGCCGGAATCCCGTACGTACGGGCCGTACGCACGACAGGGGTCCCGTACGTACGGGCCGTATACGTACGGACGTACACACAGGCTGGTCGGGCGGGGCCGGGGGAGGATTGAGATCGACACTGACGAGAAATGTCAGCGTCGTTTCGATCGAGGGCGGCATGGTATGGACACCATGAGGAGGTGTGTCCATCCTGGCTGCAACGAAGGCAGCCACGATGGGCCTCGAGGGCGGCGCACTCCTCATGAGATAGAGTTCCGCGAGGAGGAACAAAACCCTGCGGGAGGTCGATCTGAGGAACCGTGATCGTGCGGGCGCCAGCCTGTGCAACCCGACTGCGTGCACGACCCGTGGCGGATATGGCCATCTGCAGGTGCTCGGCCACCGGGATGGTGTCGTCATCCAAGTGGTACTGGATGACGTCTCGGAGCTCGATGTCCTCGGGGGTGTCCCCAAGGGTAGGGTCAAGCTCGGCCGAGGCGTCCTCGCCGTACTCTAGAGAACTGTAGCGTCGAGAGAATGGCGCTCCAGGTCGAGCTGGGCGGTGAAAGCGGCCGGCGAAGGAGGATCGACCGCTCGTGGTGCCGCGTGACTGGGTGGCGGAGGCGGTGGATCGCGAAGAAGATGGAGCATCGAAGAAGCGACTCCGCATCTTCTGGTATTGTCGAGCAGCCTCGTAGACGTACTCTGAGGACACGAAGCTCTGTCGCCAGAGCTCGATGCGGTAGTTAGTCGGAAGAAGTCTACGAACCTGTTGGTCAAAAGGACCTCAGGTAGGAGTGCCTCATCGCAAATGAGGCGAGTGTCCTAAAACACTCTGATGTGACACTCAAGATCGCCTGGTGCGGAGGACCCGCGCCACTGCGTATAGGTGACCCGATCTAAGGCGTCGGTCGCATCGTGGAGAGTGTCGTAGCAGTCATGGGGGAACACGGTGACTTCCGCGAGAGTGAGAGCCTCACCTGAGCGAGTACGATGGGTATAATAGTTCTCCCATACGGAGAATGCGCTGCCTCGCAATTTAGTTGCGAGCGTGGAGCTCCACAACTCCTGACCAGTGTTAGTCAGTGTCAGCGCACGTATGGCAGCCTGCAACCAGTGCGACACACGCATAGTACCATCGAAGTCGGGTATGCCCGACATACGCACAAGGGTGGCACCGCTATGATAACGGCGAGAGGAGAGAGGTCGAGGGGCCTGCACTGCGGCGGCAAATGTCGAGGCCAGTGCAGATGTGGAAGTGGTAGCAGGCTGAGAGTCGGGGCTGATGGTGGAAGGTCCAACAGACGTGCAGGCAACAACCGCAGCCAACTGTGACGGAGTAGCGAGGTAGTAGGGTAGAGGGGGGGGGAGACGGTCGAGGGAAACGAGCCAGCAAGACAGAGGTGGGAGGGGCGGTATAAGAAGATGGACGGTGAGCAGCCTGTGAAGGGTGAGGCTGTCTCAGGGAGAAAATCTCCGCCTATAGGGTAGCCACCCGCTGGGTGCGCGGGGTCGGAGGTGGAGGGGGAAGAGAGAGTACCCTAGTGGGAGAAGGAAGAACTCTAGGTCGTAGTGCCGAGATCGGTGCACGAAGTTGGGAAGCAACACCGTGGTGGGTAGATGAAACTGCCTGGCCAGATACCGGTATCTGGGCGACAGCACATGCGGCAGTGGACGAAGTCGCAGGGGCGGTGGGGGCGGAGGCAACCAATAGATGTGCTGCAGCAGACGGTATGGTCTGAGCGGCAGCAACACTCACCACTGTGGAGGGGGACTGTTGGGCCTGGCCTGCGGAGGAGGACGAACCGCCACGTCTCCATCCCTGGAGTCGTGGAGAGCCGGACTCCAAACCGGTAGGCGATGGAGTTCGAGAGCGGTGGGGAGAGCAATGAGGAAAGCCCTTGGGGCGGTGAACTTCAAGGGCACGCGCATTGACTTGCCTCTCCAGGGGTGCAAGGGCATCGAGTCGCGCTTGCAGAGGTGCAAGGAGAGATACAAGAACAACACGAAGCTCTGTGGGGTCCACAGAGGGCTGACCCTGGACCATCGGGTAGGTGGACGCCTGAGAGGTGGACGGCGCCACGACGATCTCCTCAGTTGTAGCCCTATCCGTGGGTGGTGGAGGAAGAGAGGTAGACATTGTGGGAGGTGTGGGGAGAAATGGGTTGTGGTACGCCGACAGGGGACCACCGGTGAGAGGGAGGGGACAACGAGAGCGGAGTGGGTAGTCGTGGGTCGGCTCACCCCGTGACCAACGGGTCGCAAGTGAGATGGTGGCGCGAATCTGATCGAGGGGAGAGGAGCCGCTCGGGTCCAGGGTGCCCGACGGGGGGAGGCGGGGGAGTAGGGGGATTAGGAGAACCCTAAACCCTAGAAAAAACCTAATAAATCCCTAACCGGGGTTCGGGTGGTTAGGGGAGGGTAACAGCGACCTAATCAAGAAAAGAAAATAATAACCATGGAGGGCAAGGGGAGAGAAAATAAAATTAACAGTGAAATTTTGAAATAAAAAAAAAAAAAAGTAAATAATAAAAATAATTAAAGCAATAAATAAACAAAATGTGAAAAGAGAAGTGATATTTATTTTTTTGGAATTTTCGGCAGCATTTCCCTACTACAAGGAAGATGAGCAATAGCGAACTTCAGCAATCAAACAACATCATACACATAAGACCAGATAGTTGTGACCTCGAACCAATGCAGAATTGCATCACGAGTTTCACCAAATAAGAGTAAACCAAAAGCTCATAATTGACAATGCTGGAATAGTCTCATCATCATCGTCAACGAAGAACCAATGTTGATATCCTATCTGGCACTCGGCGTCCAGACTACAGATCTTATCTAGCCTATACTACAATGTCGAAGATGACGACAACAGCTCACCCGAAATACGAGCAGATAGCGGCCAATGCCGCACACTTCCAGCACCAGGTATGTCTCTCACATCACTCACAACCTCGTTCCCCAACACACAGATGCCACATGCACCCAAAGACCACCCAACGCCACATCCAACTCACAGCAGTGCAGCTCGGCTATGGTTGCCTGCTCCTTCCTGCTCGCCCGTGAGCGAGTGAGCGCCAGACAGCTTCAACGCAGCAGCGCTTGTGCAGCATGCAGCCAGCACCCGAATACCAAATGCGGAGGCAGGCCCTTTGCTATATGGAAGTCGCCTG